GACTGCAGCTGAAATAACATAGACCTCCCGGAGGACCACCACATAAACTAAGCCATTAGAACAAGATGCTCAGACTTGTGTCCCATGTCATTCCCGCAAGTTGCCCATACAACTTTCCCGTTAAGAACTGTTCTAAGCCGGGCTCGGTGGCTCAGCCTGTAATCCCGTGCCTTTGGGAGGCTGAGGTGAGTGGATTGCCTGAGCCCACGGGTTCGAGACCTGCCGGGGCAGCGAGACCTTATCTCTACAATAAATCAAAAAATCAGCCGGGCGTGGTAGCACATGTCTATAATTCCGGCTACTCAGAAGGCTGAGGCGGAAGGATCGCCGGAGCCCAGCAGGTCGAGGCTGCGGTGGCCGGGAGCGGCCACTGCACTCCAGTCTGGGCGACAGAGTGAGACTCCAACTCAAAAAAAAAAAAAAAAAAAGAACCATTCTAATCAGCCTGAATATTCGAGGTGGTCTTCGTGACTTTAGTTCGCCTTCTCCTCAAATTGCCAGTTCTTGAATAAAACCTCTTTTTCCTTCCACTGACTCTCCTCTCTTTAGTTTGGTTTTCAGGTGATGAGTGACAGGATATGAGTCCAGTTATTCTCTCTATATTTGATCATAATAGGACTTTGTTTTAGAGTTGTATATATTTTTCAAAACTCATTGAATGGTACATTTGACAGTTGTACATTAATTGTACATTAACTTTACCTCAAAATGAAATAAAAGAACTTTAAAATAAAGATTGAACTTTAGTTAATGATTTGCGTGCTGAATGTCCAGGGGGAGTGTGCTCTTTTTTGAAAATTACTTTGAAATGTGTCAAAAATAAGGTGATTGATGGACACACATCATAAAATTGTGGACTTTGAAGACATTGAGGGAGATTGCTTGGAGAGAGTGAGAAAAATCTTATTAGGAACAGAAGGAAAGGGAATCTTTGTTACATGTGACAGAAAGTTTACCAATATTGTTTTCTGCAATTATAGAAAATGTCTAATGACATGGGTAATTTAGCTAAGGAGATTTTCAAACAGTGTTGAAGGTGCTGCCTGACCTCTTCTTGAATCTTATAGTAAAATGCAAAAGGAAGGAGTTACATTGAGAGGCCTGTTAAAGATGAAGTCTAAGGTCGAGCGGGTGGCGCACGCCTATAATCCCAGAACTTTGGGAGGTGGAGGTAAGAGGACTGCCTGAGTCTAGAGATTCGAGACCAGCCTGGGTAACTTGGTGAGACCTCATCTCTACAATAAATCAAAAAATTAGCCAGGTGTGGTGGTGCGCACCTGTGGTTCCAGCTACTTGGAAGGCTGAGGCAGAAGGATCACCTGAGCCCAGCAGATCGAGGCTGTGGTGACTGAGCATGCCACTGCACTCCAACCTGGGAGATATAGTGAAACTCCTGCTCCCCCCCAAAAACCCAACAAATAAAAAGATGAAGTCTAGGGTGTGTCTTTAAAGCCATTTGGTGAGACCTCAGAAGGAAGATGGTGCCTTAGGTGCTATCCAGTCACACAGGAACTCTTTAAAGAAATTAAGGGTGTGCCTCACAGATTTTCTCAAAAAATTTGCCTCTAGGAAGCTAAAGGGGTGTGCACAGGACCGTTAGCTGTCTCAGCAGAGGCCCAGGAAAGAGAAGGGTTTATCAGGAAAAGATGTGTGGGTGTGGTTTCTGCCTCATGGAGTAAACCCCCAGAAGAATCACAGGTGACCCAGTTTCAAAAGGAGCTATATATGCAGAAACACCACTATCTGGGGCTGAGAGGGTCAGAGAACAACATGAAGAGGGCCTTTGGACCCTCAGAATTCTGTCAAGAAGCAGGCTGAATGAGCTGCATAGTTGCAGACACATGACGCTTTTCATATATATATATATATAAAAGGATGATTCAGAGGACAGTACAAAGCAGCCAAAGGACAGACCTAAAACCATGGAGAACTATTACTGAGCCTTGAGACTTAAGTTTTTCAAACTCCTAACATTTGCCCGCTGGACTTGAGAATGCTGTGGGCCAATGACTGTTTGTGTCTTTTATTTCTCTCCCTTTGGAATAGAAACGTTAATAGAGATCATCCTATGCCTGTCCCACTACTGTGTTTTGGGCATGTGAGAGAGAACTTGTCTCTAGTTTTGTAAGTTGAGAAGAAATGTATTCAAAGAGGTATTCTTAGGACCTAAACCTGAAGACCTGCAACTGCACCTGGACCTGATTTAGATGATGAGATTCTGTACAGTAAGCTCAGGCTGTAATGGGATGAGACTTTGCAAGCCTTGAGGGGAGGGGATGTGAAATGTTATGCATATTGGAGGGATTTAAGTCGCTGGGGGCCAGAGGCAGACAGTGGTAGCCAGACTCCAGGACAGCTCCCCATGATCTCTGTCTCCTGGTGTGGATGACCCTTTGTAATCTCCTCCCCATGGATGTGGACTGGACTTACTGACTTGCTTCCAACAGAACATGGCAGAAGTAATGAGATGTCAACTCTGAGAATAGGTTATAAAAAGACTGTAGTTTCTGTCTTGGACACACTTGCCCATTCCCTCTCCCATCACTCAGCCTAGGGAAGCCAGATACAGTGTTGTGAGGCAACCTTGTAGAGAGGCTCACACAGTGCAGGGCTGACACCTGCCAATAGCCACACAGGTGAGCTGCAAGGGGATCCCTCCCTCGCTGAGCTCCCTGACCCCAGCCCACCACTTGGCTAGTACCTGATGAGAGATTTAGAACCAGAGGCACTGAGCTAAGCCTTGCCTGGGAGATAACAGAAACTGAGAAGGAAATTTTGTTGTGGTCGTTGCTTTAAGCTGTTAACTTTTGGGTACTTTGATTTGCAATAATACATTAATACAAAGAATAGAACTGAAAAATCATAATAGAAAGAAAGAAGGTAAATCAGAGAGTGAAGAGGACATAGTCTTGTTTTTCTTTAACAATAGTCACGAATAATTGGAGATAAAAAGCAGAAGAGATATGAAATGGTCAGTGCTCAAATAAGACAACAGTAAGAAATATAGTAGCAGAGAAAGGTGAGTAAGAAGAGGAGGGGAAAAACACTCCTGTGGAAGATCCCTTTGTGATCCAAGGAGACCAACGAAGAGCTGGCTGGAGAAAAAGAAGGCCACGTCATCTCTGAGGGGGAGAGGATAGGTCACAGAGCTGCTGAAAGGCGACTAATGTCATGGGGGCATCAATGAAAAGTCACAGAATCCTTCGTAAGGGCTTATATTCTGGGAACCATAATTACAAAGTCACTAAGGGCTGGCTCTGGAATGACTGATGCTGGGGAGGGAGGAGGGTGATGCAATCTCTAGGAATAGGGGAATTCATCATTTATTTTGGAAGCAATAACTGAGGAGGAAAAGAACTGTTGGCAAATCTTTATACTCACATTATTAAGCAGGCCAAGGATTGACTATTTAGATGTGAAATGGTTGCTAGAGATGATGTAGTTGTATGGATTAAAACACTTTTGTAAAGTTATAAATCTGCTGCTTAAAATACTGCACAGACTGGAGGCGTGTACCCAGTGACACAAACGTGAGGTCCAGCTATAGCAAAGCAAGGAACTCCATCTATCTCCATGAATGCTCTTGCCTGGTGCTACAAAAGCCTAAGCGTTAATGATAGCTGGGAGTATAAGGCCAGGCAGTTCCTGCACAAGCATAAAGAAAAATGTAAAGAACAACAAAGTAACTCAGCAAATGCTGATTTAAATATAGCACAAGATTTCTTTTTTGATCCAGAAAAAAATTATGGTTAGAAAACATATATCTGGTCCCACCTGCCAAAGAAATGCCCACAACTTTGCTAGGCACTGTAGTGGACACAGAAGAAACTCTGGCCTTGAGGCACTTTGAATCAGTTGGAGTTTCAAGCTGTAGGTGTGTGAACAACCAGGAAAGGACTCCACAAAAAACAGACAGTCTGCCTGACAAAGAGGTCATCCTTGGGGAGGTGGGATGAGTTCCCAAGGTGAAGGAGTTGCAGGAGAGAGAGGTCAAAGGAGCCCACAGAGAAACCAGAGGGACTGTGTGGGCAGGCAGGGGTGAATGTCCTGAATGTCAAGGTGGGGGAAACCTCTCAAGGAGGGAGCTATGGAAAGGTGTGGTGGCTCATGCCTGTAGCCATAGTACTTTGGGAGGCCGAGGTGTTAGACACCAGCTTGTACAACATAGCAAGATCCCATTTCTTTTTTTTTTTTTTGAGTTGGAGTGTCACTTTGTTGCCCAGACTGGAGTGCTGTGGCACACTCCTGGTCACTGCAGCCTCTGACCTGCTGGGTTCCAGCGATCCTTCTGCCTCAGTCTTCCAAGTTGCCGGAACTACAGGCGTGCACTACCATGCCCAGCTAAGTTTTTTGATTTACTGTAGAGACAAGGTCTCGCCAAGTTGCCTAGGTGGGTCTCAAACCCGTGGGCTCAGGCAATCCACTCGCCTCGGCCTTCCAAAGTGCTGGGATTACAGGCTGAGCCACTGAGCCCAGACACAAGACCCCATTTCTAAAAAAGAATTTAAAAAAGAGTCAAAAAAACAGAACTCGCTGATTTATAATTAAGGAATCATGACCTTTCTTTTCTTTTCTTTTTTTTTTTTTTGTGAGTTGTAGTCTCACTCTGTCGCCCAGACTGGAGTACAGTGGCCGCTCCCGGCCACCGCAGGGCTCCGGTGATCCTTCTACCTCAGCCTTCCGAGTAGCTGAAACTACAGGAGCGCGCTACCACGCCCGGCTAATTTTTCATTTATTGTAGAGATGAGGTCTCGCCAAGTTGCCCAGGTGGGTCTTGAACCTGCGGGCTCAGTCAATCCACTCACCTCAGCCTCCCAAAGGTGCGGGATTATAGGCTGAGCCACTGAGCCCGGCTAGCATGACCTTTGCAAAGGTGGAAAAGGTAAAAGTTTCTTTCAAATCCCACAAATAACTGATATTAAGGCACAAGAAATGCTGTAGATTTGTGGAAGAGGCTGATTTCAGAATTCAGCAGCTGTGACTTCCATGGTGACTATCACCTGTTTGGTTTCCTTTGACAGTGCAGGAACTGGAACGGCTTCCTGCTGCATCACTTCTGTGTCTCCTTTTTCACCATCTGATGCTTCTAGGAAATACAAAGTATGAAAATTAGAAACCTCTCTCTCTCTCCTATTACTAGTGCAACCTTGGTACCACCTTTCTAGAAGGTTCTATTTCTTGACTTTGTAACTCTAATTCTAAGAAGGTGAATTTAAGAAAATGATCCAAAATGAAGATATATATTTAAGCACCAAGCTGGTGGTCTTATTTCTAAGACTGAAAAATGGAAGATTACCTAGATGTCCAACATTAGGGAATGTTTACTTATACAACAGGATGGGTGCAGCTTTTAAAGAATAGTGCAGGCCGGGCACGGTGGCTCAGTCTGTAATCCCAGCACTTTGCAAGGCTGAGGCGATAGGATTGTCTGAGCCCAGAGGTTTGAGACCAGCCTGGGCAACATGGCAAGACCTCGTTTCTACAATAGACAAAAAAATTAGCTGGGCATAGTGGTGCAGGCCTGTGGATCCAGCTACTTGGAATACTGAGGCGGAAAGATTGCTTAAGCCCAGCAGATCGAGGTTGAGGTGGCCGTAAGTGTGCCACTGCACTTCAGCCAGGGCGACAGGGTCAGACTCCAACTAAAAAAAAAAAAAATGTGCTTATTAAGAGTTTACAATGACAAAAAGCTACCGTACAATGATAATGTGTGATCAGAACTACCATTATTGAGCAGTTGCTGTATGTTTGATACTGGGCTTCATGCACATTATCTTATTTAATTGTTATAAGATCACTACTGATTTGTACAGATAGGAAAAATTCTTTTTCAGATAAGAAAACTGTTATTTAGGGAGGTGAAACAATTTGCCCAGGCCACACATCTGGGAACTGAGGTCTGCGTGAGTCAACCCTCGTTCCCAGCAAGTGATGCCTTCACTTGGAACCAGCCAGCCCTGGACCCTGGGTGCCGGCCCCGGGAAAATGTTAAGAGACGGTGACAAAGTGATTACAGTGGCTGAAGTACCTGACATAAAATGTTGTAGTATTTGTATATAGGCTGAGCAATTCTCCTGTATACTTTAAATCACCTCTAGATTACCTAAAACACCTAATACAATGTAAATGCTATGTAAATAGTTGTTATACTGCATTGTTTAGGGAATAATGACATGAGAAAAAAGTCTGTACATATTCAGTTCAGACACAACTTTTTTCAAATATTTTTGATCTGTGGTTGGTTGAATCCACAGATGTGGATCCCATGGATACAGAGGGATGACTGTAACATCTTTTTAAAGGTATGTGACTGTTATATAACAAAAACCTATGAGAAACATTTAAAATACCTCGTTAATCAAATGCTCCAAATCTGAGTTACTCTTGTTCCAAAAATTATTTCATCTGAAACCTCTTAACATAGAAAATGAGATCATCTCATATCCCTGTAAGTTGGATGAATTATTTCCTTAGCTGTGACTTTTTTGTGGGGAGAATGGAAGTTCCAAAAGAGAAAAGTGCTTTTCTGATGTAAGGATGCTAGTTCTGTGATTTCCATTAAGAGAATATTGAAAGAAAAGTAGGGCGACCCAACCTAGCAGCCGGCTCTAGTACCCAGGTTCCACTACGCCTGCGGGTATTTGAGGAGACTCAGTCAGGCCTGTGCCACTAGTCCCAGTGGCCAATTCAGTCCATGAAGTGTAGTTGCAAAGACTGCTTCCTCTTTCTTGAACTGCCTGAAGAAGTACCATCCAAGTACTAACCAGGCCCAATCCTGCTTAGCTTCTGAGATGAGATGAGATCAGGTTTGTTCAGAGTGTTATGCCTGTAGACATGAAGAGTCTACTTAAAAGAAGACTAGATTGGTTAAATTCTTCCAAAGGAGGAGTCAGGTACAGTGTCCTTTTCCAACCCACGACCACAACAGCAAGTGAAGACAGAAAGCTGCACATTGCTTTCCCTCAATCCCTGCCGTCATCCTCTTTGTAAGATGTATCTGACATCCAATTGCCCGGCGCTTTCCTTCAGCTTCCAAGGACTCGCATGTGTCAACCCTTTTTAAGTCCTGGAAGGGACTTCGGCAATGAGATCATAAAGTCAATTGCTCTTTAAAAATTTGCAAAATAAAGATTCAATCATAATATTTTAGGCCACTTTCTGTTTCTGCTTACAATTCTCCTCTGTCACATATCTTCTAGTGAGTGGTGCTGGATGGCCAGGAGCATCATAAGGATTCAGTTAGAAGAAGTTGGTTGCACGTACGTTTACTTGAAGTTTAATGGGATATTTATGTGGTTTGCAATCCCTTCTGTCTGTAGTTAAGTTATTGCTAACTGTTTTAGTATAGGAAAGCTGATGGGAATGTCCCACCGTCCGGTGCTAAATCACCAGACATTCTGACACAGAGGGAGCAGGGCTAGTGGGTGTCAATCATGACACAAGTGTGCCCTGATCATGATTGTCCCTAGAATGACATGGGAAACGGAGGAGAAACTGAGTTTGGAGTGTACGAAACCTGAAACTAGTCAGTGGAAGATTCTTCTAATCACCTAAAATATAAAACTGCATTGTCATTTTCCCCTATTCAAAATTGAAGTTCTCTCCTGTGAAATACGTGTAATAGATGGTGCATGGCATATAAGTGTAAAGAAACTTACATGTTTTATTCCTTATCTGATGGGGCTGAGTAAAATAAGAATTTACAGAATTCCTTTGTTTGTAGCAGTGTTGTATTTCTTATTTAAAATAACTTCTTTCATACCTAATTTTTTGATCTTTTTTTTTGGGGGGGGGGTTTCTTTTTTCCTTACATATCTAATCTTGTACCAGTAATTTTGCGTTCTTTTTCTAACAGAGGGCCCGGCAAATTGTATAAGCTTCAGGTCTCACAAAAACATAGATGTGCCCTGGCTAAGAGCCTTGTTGCTCTTTCTTGTTAGCTCTCATGGTTAAGAAAACAAAACAGACTACTGCAAAACACAGCAACATGGGTGAATTTCAATGGCACGACTGATGCTAAGCAAAAGGAGCCAGAATCAAGAGGCTACATAAAGTATTATTCCTGTTACTTAACATTCAGGAAAGACCAAAACTCTAGGGGCAGAGAATAGTTCGGTAGTTACGAGGGCCTGGAGGTGAGGCATTTCTGGGGAGTGATGGAAATACTCTGTATCTCGATGTGGTGGTGGCTACACGCTGCTTACATGCTTCAAAGTTCATAGAACTGTTCAGTACAAACTTTAATTTTACTATATGCAAAATTATTCCTTAATAAACCTGACTTAAAAAGTGATAGAAGCTAACTTTCATTAATTTGTAAAACTTGCCCAACATCACAAAACTAATAACTGGCAGAGCTGAGATTTGAACCCCAGAGTTCATAACCTTCATGCTTACACTATCCTTGCATCAAAAGATGTTGCTGACAGTTTAATGAAGTTTCCTTCTATTCTTTTAGTCTTTTGTGAAAAGGTCTCTATGTTGTTTTTATTTTTAAATAACGAATAAGTGTTAAATTTAATGTAATGCTTTTTAGTTTTGCGTATTGAGAGGATAATATGAGTTTTTTCCCTATAATCTGTGAATATGGTGAATTGTAAAAAACAGTTTTTCTAATGTTAAACCATTCTTGCTATTCGTAGGATAAATTCCAGCTGGTCATAATGTATTTATTTTTTTGCAGATTTTTTTCATCAATGTCCAAAAGTCAGGTTGACATAATTTTCCTTTCTAGTACTTTCCTTATCTGGCTTCGATATTGAAGTTATGTTAGTTTCATAAAAGATCTGGGAGACGTCTCTCTTTTTTTTTTTTAAGTTGGAGTCTTACTCTGTTGCCCAGGCTGGAGTATAGTGGCATACTCATGGCTGCCGCAGCCTCAACTTGCTAGACACAGGTGATCTTTCCACCTCAGCCTTCCAAGTAGCTGGAACTACTTGGAAGCGTGAGGCATGCCAGGAGTACGCCACCATGGCCAGCTAATTTTTTGATTTACTGTAGAGATGAGGTCTCACCAAGTTGCCCAGGCTGGTCTTGAACCCCTGGGCTCGGGTAATTCTCTCACCTTGGCATAACAAAGTGCTGGGATTACAGGCTTGAGTCACTGCACCTGGTCTGAGACATCTCTTTTTTCACACTCTGAAATGCTTGTGTACAGATAAGATTGTTCCTTGAATCTGGTAAAATATATTAGCAGAGTGTAGTATTCTTTGTGTGGGTATGTTTTAAATCTATGCTTCAATTTCTAACCGTTATATGATTATTGGGGTTTTTCTGTTTGTTATATATATCTAACTTATATTTAGATGAACTGTAGAGATTAGACTGCCATAACAAAACACTTGGTATGGTAATGAGTAACAGAAATTCATTTTTTCATGGCTCTGAAAGCTGGAAGTTCGAGACCAGGGACCAGCCTAGTCAGGCTCTGGTGAGGGCTTTCTTCGTGGCTTGCAGATGGCTAACTTCTCACTGTGTCCACATGGCAGGGAGAAAGCAAATAAGCTCTCTGGTCTCTCTTCTTATAAGGGCACCAAGGGCCCCATCCTCTTGATCTTTTCTGATCCCAGTTACCTCCCAAAGACCCTATCTCCAAATCCCATCATTCTGGGGTGTAGGCTTCAACCTATGATTTTGGGGGGAATATAAACATTCAGTCCGTAACATTCCATTACAATTTTTCTTTGATCCCTGAGTTTTTAGATTTCCAAACGTATGTTTACAATCTCTGGTTCGCATGGTAGTTAGAAAAATGGCCCATATCCCTTTTTTGTTATCATCTAATTTATTCTAGCACAGGGATCAGCACACTTTTTAGGTAAAGAACCATAAATAAGTGTTGGGGTTGCAGAGGCCTATGGCTACTGCTGGTAACTACTCAACTCTGGTGTTGTGATGCAAAAGCAGCCCTAGGCAGTATGGAAATGAGCAGGAAAGTCTGTGTTCTGATAAACTTTATTTACAGAAATGTGTCCTGGCTGGATTTGGCCCATGGACCATATGGGTTCCCAACTCCTGGCCTAGTACATAATCAATTTTTAAAAATGTTTCAGAGTTTTCTGAAAAGATCACATAGTTTCTAATTGT